ATGTATTAATCTATATTAGCATTTAATTTATTTTTTCATATTTTATCACAATATTTTGTATTTCTATTTCAATTTTTTATTACTTAAAATATTATTATCTTCAATTTTATTATTATCTTAAAAATAGAATAACTTAATTTCTAGAATATATATGCATATATAAATTGTGACATTGAACAATAAAATTTCACTGAATATTACTTTTAATTTATAAATTATATTAAGTAAATTTAGTCACAGCTACACAATAAATTTAATTTTTAAAGTATTTAAAGAAAAAAGCAATAAAATGTTATATTTAATTCTTGAACAAACAATTTTGTTATTATGTTTTTCTTCTATAAGCTTATGAAATTATAAATAAGGACTAATCAGTGATTGTTTGTAGAATTATTGCTATATTACATAGGAAAGACAATTTCAGGTAAATGTTCATTATAAATAAATAACGGTTATTCGATTTCGATTATTTTTGTATTAATGTATTGCAAAAGTAAATATAGATGTTTCTTTAATATAATTGAGCATTGATATAGTAAATAATTTTGCATATTTTTAAAGTCGTCAAATATATAGGAATGTATATATTATTATTATGTATATAAATTATTATAATTTTAACTTTCAAATTGCGTATAGAAAATTTAGAAATATCATACACATTCATTTAACTATACTTTAATATACATACATATAAATTTACAATATTTATATACTTATATATTTGGAATTTATTTTTTCAGTTAATAAGTAAATTCTTATTATATTAAACGTGGATTGGAATTTAGTATTTAAAATTCAAATCAAATTTGTATTTTTATATTAAAGATTTTTATCTTTAGAAAAAAAGGAAAAGAATTCGTTTGTATTGCTATTTTTATTGATAAATATATATATATATATATATATATATATATATATATATCTAATGTTTTTATGTAAACTAATAAAATAAATTGCACAAAATAAATTAAACGTCGTTTATTATTCAAATAGTAGTATTTATTCGATTTATTATTATTCCATTCGCAATTTATTGACTTATTGATTTATTGAGTCGTCATATTTATAATTATTAATGGACACAAATTATGTACATTAAGTATATTTTTTCCGCGTTTGAAAGTATATCATTGCTCCTTTTCTTTTATACAATTAATTTATAAAGCATTAAGTATTTGCATTCCGTTGTAATTTGAAATCACTAATGAATCAATTAACGAATCTCAACTACTTCCGATCTATATTATCAGCGGCATAGTTTGAACGAATTCTTGTTTTAAGGTATCACTGAAATTTCAACATTCATTGACGCAACAGGATATGCGCTTACATTGAAATACGTCGACCCTTACATTCTTCAATATATGTTGAGCAAATAACGCTTGTTACCACATCTACGACATATTATATGCTTATAGTAAGCACATTTGAATAAATCAATTCTTTGTTCACTGCATCATAATTATTATGTGTGATAGAGAAAAATATAAGTTTACCTGGTTATATTTTTATATATGCAGCTGTTTTAAGCCAGATAGAGAATAAAAGTAATGTAGGAAAATGTTGACTTTTTATTACCATTTTAGCGGATGAGTATACGACTAAATAATAATAAATGATATTGCTTTCATAATTATTAACACAGAAAATTTTAACATTTTATGTGATTTAGTGAAAGAATATCGCAGAAAATGCGATCTATGTAGATCGAATTACTTTTATATTTTTCAAAAACTTTAATGCTTTTGCAATTCATAATTTTTTTTTGTTTTTTATATAGTTTGAAAATTGCAAGAAAAGGCATTACAAATAAATGAACAATTATTCTATAATGCTTTTATTATTTAACAGATTTTTAAATAAATCAACATATGCTAATATGGAGATATATAAAATAATTCATTTTACCATTATTTAAACAGAAAAGAATATATATATATATATATATATATATATATATGTATATGTATATGCATATTATCTCATTGGATATTTTTTTGTATGTTAAAATATAAAAATTTGCATATAAGCTATTTTAAACTTATGCAAAGAAATTTTCAATATAATTCCATAATTCATTAAAAGAACTTTTAAAATATATTTGAAGTGAATATTTATACAGTAATCGCTAGTAAATTAAGAAAATAAATATGTATTTTGTTTTTTGTTATTTTATCAATATAAACATAAATAGTGTTGATAATTATAGCACTTATTGACATTTATTATAAAATTAATTTCCAACATTATGTGTCATTCTGTATAAATAAGCGTAATATATTTAAATAAATAAAACAATAAAATATCACATTATCGGTATAATAAATAAAAAGCTAAATACAATTTTTTTCTAATTATTATAAATATAAAATAATATGATAATGTAATCGCTTAATTAACATATTGCATAAAAGTAGTTTTTAATATAAAAATCAAAGAATACTCTACTTCTTCATTCTTTTAAACATTAAAAATATCAAATTCTGATAAAATATAATATGGTATGAAATTTTTGGTATGAATTCAATATAGTATACGTTCAGATAAATTACGGCTTACAATTTCATACAAAATTCAAAACTACAAAAGAAATGACAGCTTTACAATATATTTACAACATAACAGAGTGTAGAAAACATTTCAAGTGTATAACACGTAAGATTTACATGAAAAGTTTTTCCCAGTTTGTAGCTTTGTAGCATACAATTTTTATAATTTTAAGTTATACTTCACTTATTTTATGTGATTTTCATTTCATTTTAGTATAAAATATATTCAATACTTTTTATCCTTCAGTATTATTTTGATGTAATTGTCAATAATGACTCAACCGTAATAATATCAAGTTGCTAATTCTATTAGAATTCATGTTATATTTATATAATTAATTATTGTTCAACGAAATTAAAAAGTCAAATAATGCTTATGAATTTTTAATATTTTCGATACAATATGAATTGATGAAGTAACTTTAAAAAAAAAAGGTAAACGAGTTTTATTTCCATGAGTAAAGCACAGCATTCTTATTGTTTTGAACCAATCTTTGAACTCCTTTGTTTCTCTATCCGATTGTTTCGTTCGACAATATTGAGAAATGTAAATGATAAGAATGGAATTTATCTTGAATTATTCATAAATCTGCAGTTCCGTTTATCAATGTTATAGAAAATAATAATATCGCACATATAAACTCCCCGTGAATAGTGTATCCAGTGCCATTGTGTATCGACGCGAGCAAGAGAAGAGCAAAGAGAAGATTCCTATTCGGCAATCAGGATGAAGTCAATAATCCATGATCCGCTCAGCCTTCGAGTAGTGTACAGAGTCGCTGACATGTAATTGGGATCAGTGCTTATCTGCCGAAGCGCAGACCGAGACCTTCGCCCTCTCTTTCTCGTTATCCCTCTCACCTTGATTACTCTAAAGTATGGCTAGGCAGCTTAAAACTAGAGTTAGCTCTTCCCTATCCCTCTTGTCACATCAGACCATCCTCTATCCACAAGCATATGTCACGATCGCTAGATATCGAATCTATTTCATTATGATATCTACAACGTTTGCATATGACAATTTAAAGCTACTAACACATCACTTCTAGTTCTCATTTCATTTCTCAATAAACTCACACACAATTTCATGAGCAAGGCTTACGATATTAAACGAACGCTTACGTTTCATTGAATTATATAGGCATTCGTAATGAATAATAACGACGAGTTATTTGCTCCAGTTAGCGTTGTGTTGAAGATTACATTTAATTGAATACGCGGCAATTTCATATTGGCTTGCTAATCAATGATAACTTATAATTTATAATAATGTTTTATTTTATTTTTTCATTCTTTATTTTTAATTAAAATTTGTAAAATTATTAGTTTCGATGAAATTTAAGCGAAATTAGAATTTTATTATATTTATCATTATTTATTATAATACAATATTTGTTATCCAAGTATGAATTAACTATAATGTAATTCTGTTAATAATGTTAATTTTATGCCATATTATTATTATTATTATTATTCAATTATACTACAATTATTATTCGGAAGTTATATATATATATATATATATTGTATTCTTCTTATTTTTCTTTTTTTTATTCAAATTTCATATTAAGGCTTGATATAATTTATAAATAATTTTAAGATTTCATTAAAACATAATCTTATTATTTTAAAACAAAAGAAGAAAGATAAAAAATACGTTTTGAATTATTTTTACATCATTCTTTAGTAACAATTCCATAATATCTTATATTATTTTATAAAATAATTTATAAGATTACTGATTGGATAAAACACATGTTGTATGCTTTATGGAATTCTATTAATTGAATTAATGAATTTTTTTTCTACGTTTCTTAGACAACAATAAAAAGTATTTGTTTTTTAATGAACTGAAATTTCCTAAATGGCATGATAATTTTGTTAAGCACATAAGCAATTGTAAATATAAGGACTTCTCTCATCTAGTTTTTGTAAACTCAATTAATAATTCATTATGATACATAGAAAGTTTTTTTATCATAATGTTTATTAAATTAACTTTATTGAATGTTTAAACTATAATTTGTTTTTTCGGAATTTGTCGATCAGCGTGGTATTATAAAAAGTTGTCAAAATTGATTTTATTTTTAATGTAATATATATTAATATTTAATAATATATATATTAATAACATACGTATATTTTTTTTTTTTTTTTTTTTGATAAATTTTTTGTATATGTATTTGCAAAATATTGGAAATAGAATAAACAAAGAAAAATATCGTTTGAATTAGCTATTTAGACAATTCACTTTTTCATCAATTCTGTGTCTTTTCTGAAATACTTTTATGAACTGATTTTCATCTATATACATAATTATATTTTAAAAACATTAATGCATATTTAGATTCGACATGCTATTGATGTTAGCTACATTATTTAACCTCGTTGATTTTTGGCCAAAAGAGTTCACTTACCGAGATGTATAAATGTGTTTGTGTATTTCAGAAGGTCCAACCTTCACCGAGGCAATATCAAACGTGACTATTCCAGTTGGGCGGGAAGCCGTTCTTTCCTGCGTTGTCGAGGACCTGTCAATGTACAAGGTAAGTGTTGTACTAGCTGTGAAGGTGTATACTGCATACTGATAGCGAACATACGGGCACTGAACATTTTCGGTAATCGTACGTGTTGTGCAAGTTTTATTACTTTCCATCGTGGTCTTCATTGCACCGATATGTGTATAGTAAAGAGTTCGAGAAACATCGAAACTTTCATTTTAGGAGGAAAGTTTAGTGAACGCCGATGCTCCTCAGAATGAGCAACATTAAGTGGTACTTAACGAGCATTGCTATTCCTCTCATCTCTCGACTTTATATTAACTTGCAAAATCGTTGGGTCACCGTTATTTAAGTACTTTTTATCCTTTTCTCTAATATCACAACTTCATAGCAACTGATTAATTAAATATTGTTTATAAAATGCTACTTCTATTCAGTACGTAAAAAATATGTAAGTTCGTGTACCACTGTTAAATTAAACATAAATGGGAATTTCAATGTAATTATTGCTGTGATATTTAATATTAAATACAATTTATATAGTTATTGGACTTGAAGCCTGTAATTCAAATATAAGTGATATTAGTTAAAGAGATGCAATTAAAGCAATTATATTTAAAATAATTGTTCAATATGTTGATTTTTTTTTAATTTTTCAACGAATTTTACATGGACACAATTAAGATTGCGTCAGTGATAAATTCATCGATTTTATCCAAAACATCTTTTTATTGCCAATTCTGATATTTCATTCTTAAATTGGAAATATTTATAAATGAAACAGTGTATTCGCTGAGAAAAGTTTTCAAAGATTAGATGGAGTTGAGTTAAGCGCGTTTCAATTGTTCACACTTTTAATTACAGTAGTGAAAATGTCGCATAAACGTAAATTTATGGAAATTTTTTTTCAACTATTATTCAAGCGGAAACTTTCAAGAAATGGAATAGATGTAGGAAAAAGAGAGAAACGCGGAAGATCGAAGTTTCACAGGACCAACATCGCCATTACAGTTGAAGAGTGCCGACGTCGAACTCTAATGCACAATGCCAAGTGTTGTTAACCCAAACGTAATTCGGGCATTTCTTGACTAATGAATTCAAGTTTCATTAATTTTATTACTTTCAAACCGCAGTTTTTACTTCTTCTTGAAAATGGCTCACTAAATGCTGAGATATATTGACTTTTTCAAGTGTATCATTTTATAATAGTTAAATTTGTATTTGGCATTGTATTACTTTAATTATCATACTGTATTTTTCAGATTTTTTTACAATATTTTCAAAAGTACCATTCGTAAAAAATTAGCCAATAATAGAATTAATAGAACAATATAATAACAGTTAAACATCGCATAACATAACATAAACTTTACATTTACTACCTTTACATTTACCTTCTTATAAATAATTCTTATGCTAATTCTATTCAAATATAGTGCATAATAAATACATAATTGATAAGAAATTAATAACTTATTCACTATCGGATGTATTTCAATTCTTCGTTATATAATATATTTGCAATGCATTGTTACATTATGTATTTATATTAAATGTGTATTACTATATTTTATTTATCATTTTATACTATACTATATTTATTACTCTATATTACTTTATTTTTCTACATATAGCTAATAAAATGTTGAAAAAGCATTAATTTTTAATTACGAATTGAACAATTTTTTAACGTTTAATTTACTCTTTTGACCATATTGCCCTATATTATGTACAAGTATTTTCCTTATACAAATACACGCACACGCACGCACGCGCGCGCGCGCGCACACATATATTTATTTAAGTATTTATTAGGTAGTCTGCTCAGTATCAGTCAGTGACAGAGGTGTCACTGTTTTTTCCATGTATTGCCTGCGATTGTCCATGATCACGATCCATGGGTACGCATATCGTAATACTAACATCTTCCGAAATTTCTTGGTGACCGCGTGACTCAAGGCCTTGTTTTAGGGAAGCCAGCTTGAGCGACTTAATAAAGCGATACTACATCACCAGTAGTCGTACGGGGTGGTTTCACGATCCTCATTGTGGTCTTACCAAGTATAGTAGGACCATATTTCACGGCTTGAAATCCCAGTCTCGTTTAACAGTGAAGTATATTTTCTTGGTGACTGACTAATTTTATTCGGTTTTCCAACAACCGTTTGGCACACATAATAATTCTCGATTACTCCGCAAGTTTTTGCACATTGTAATTAAATTTATTATTTAATATTTATTCTACTTGAATCAAAGATAATTAATGTCGAATTTTTTTACATACTTGCGGGAAGTTTTTTATTTAGATATTTATACTAAAATTAAGTAAGGAGGAGCTGGCGCACTATAAATGGCAACAAATAGTAAAAGATTTAATAAATAATGAAACGTATTATGTCGTAGACCTTTGATGCAAAACGAAAAAAAATTAAAATGGTTATCATAAACTCATTTTATGTTCATTGCATAATGAAATATTGAAAGAGATGAAATTTTTATAACTTTTTATAATTATAAGTTAAGTAAAAAATAAACGGTTAAAATTTTAATTTTGATTAACAAATGAAGCTTAATCTCTATGATATAATTCATTCGTTAATTATAATATAAAAAAAAATTTAACATATAATTATTTAAATATATTTAATAGGTAATAACTATACTCAAACATTCATGAAATTATTTGTGTAATCAAAAGTTTACACACTCAAGTTATTAATAATTAAAGTATTAGTCTAAGATTAACTCTAGTCTAGGAATAAACAAAGATGTTCTTATTCTTATTGGGTTCTTCATCTAGACTGATATCTAAATGACAAATTGACTTTAAAAGAGCACGTATAAAGCTTGTCAACTTACGGCGAAAATCAGTCGATAAATGCTCCAGAAATAGCAAGTACTGATTACGAGACCAACTTGTAACAGCGCCAAGTTCGCGTATTTAGCTTACTTTATTCTTTTAAACTACAAAGGTATTACTCTATGTTCAAAGGATTCATTTGAGATGGATTAATGCCTTAAATATCAGTATATGAAATGGTATTTACCAGACTCGTTTGATTTATTAAAAAGGAATTTTATATTTTACCAATGAAAAGGTCTAATTTATATTAAAATAAAATAATAAACTGACAAGTATGTTACTACATTGATGATATGACAGATTAATAAAGGGTATGGGAAATTTTTTTTATCTCTGTGCCAAACGTATCGATAAGAAAGGAATTGTAATTATAGCACCACCAATATTTTTTTACAGTGAAAAAAATGATGTAATTAACTAAAGCATTAGACTTTCATTGTTTAAATACCTTTAACTTTTTAATATATTTCACATGCTCAATAGCTTAAAATCTTTGTTTTAAAAGCATTAAATTGATATATTTAGAAAATTAAAGCACGTATATTTCGAAAACAAATTAATTGGCGAATTTTATAAGTTTACTGATGTCGTAACCAAATCTCAGTATCCACTAGAGGACTTTAGATACCTAATAAAATAAAAAAGTGAAGAAGTTTCTACGCATCACATGTGAAATAAAAAAGAAACAAACAATACTATACTCTATCATACCTAGATATATGAGGTCAAATATAGAAAAATAGAGCTAGCGTTTAATAAAGAAACCATTTTCGCCAACAGACAATATGTGTAACAGAGGTTTATATTATCATAATCTGTTGGATCTAATTAGGAATGTTTCCTGACTATTTGTCACTCACTAAGAACTATACCATTGCTATACAAATGATATTCAGCTAGCTTGAATAATAGAAAACAATTGCTCTGGTTTCATATATGAAATCAATAGATACAATTTCGATTCATCTACAATGGAACTACTGGAACTCTAATATTGATGATCTTTAATTATGAAACATAAACATGGTCATATCTATTATTTAACATAAATGATAATCGGTTTGATCTATGATAGATAAATAAAAATAGATTTATATATATATATATATACATAATATTAAATTAAAGTGTAATGATAGAAAATTGTATTAATATTAAATAATTAATTATAAATCATTATTACACAATATCAAATAGTTAATAATTAAAAATAAATAATAAATAAATCAACAAATCATTCGATTATATTTATAGTTTTTTAAAATGATAGTAATATTTTAAAAGCAATAAAGAATAGTACAATATTAAAGGTAAGAATTATTAACTTCAAATAACTAGTAAATTCAATTAATTGATGAATAACGAATATATTCTATTGGAATATTCAATAAAATTAAACAGCAATAATTTATATATATATATATATTATAGTAGGTAGAAATAAATTCTTATATGTTAAGATTTTTGCTAAATACAGTAGTAAAAACATTAAAAATACCGTGAATGAAATATTTGAGAAACTTGGCACGAATTAAAATAGTTTCTTCTTGTTACATATTGTATAAATTTACTTAGTTTCATGAAAATTCGCATTTTTAAAACGTATAAAGACTGCTTCAAAGTATTCTTAAACGGAATTTGCCTTATAATTCTCGTTAAGGCGCAAGAAGGCTTCTTACAAATATTTAAACAAAGTCCAACCACCACGAGACTTCTGAATTTCATCATATAAAAGGATTGTAATCTTCCTCTCATATTATTATTTCTAATTCTTTTTCCGGATTTGATGCTTTTAGTTTAATTTTATTTTTTCTTAAATTTTTAAATATGTTCCCTTTTTATTTATACTTCATTTTGTTTTATTGACATCATAGTTAATATTTATCCGTTTATATCTTATTTACACAACTATGTATAATTATTATTTATAACAAATTTTTTTAGGAAAAAGTGTACATTAAGGGTATATAATAACATGTACTTCAATACACTAATAATAATAGTAAATGATATAAGAGTATATAGTATGCTATCTTACTATAATTACGGCATAATCAAAATTCATAAGTACTTCAGAAACTGTATTGTGTTTAACATCGTAATATCTTATAAATTAATAAAATTATTTATTTAATCATTAAATAATATATTTATAATATCATAATGATACAAGAATTACATA